CTGCTGATCCAGGGCTCTGCTCCATCCCTGCTGCTGATCCAGGGCTCTGCCCCATCCCCATTCCCCATCCCTCTGCTGATCCAGGGCTCTGCCCCATCCCCATTCCCCATCCCTGCTGCTGATCCAGGGCTCTGCCCCATCCCCATTCCCCATCCCTCTGCTGATCTAGGGCTCTGCTCCATCCCTGCTGCTGATCCAGGGCTCTGCCCCATCCCGTTCCATGGGAGTGATTTCAGCTCATTGTCTCAAATTTTCTCCTAATTTCCCTCCTAAATTTGATCCCCTTGTAGGTGCTGGTGTAGGTGTAGGTGTTGGCACCTTCCTCTCCCAGGGAACAGCAGGGGTTTTGCTGTTCTGCAGGGTGGCATGTAAAATCCTATTTGGTCACAAAATCGTGCCGTGTCGGTTCTTTTTGAGCACAAAGTCCTGGAATGGTTTGGGTGGGAGGGGACCTCCAAGCCCATCCAGAGGGCAGGGACACTTCCCACTGTCCCAGGCTGCTCCAAATTTAGGGATTTCCCCCAAGTCTGTCCATGGAACGGCTGAAAACAAAGAGAAAAAAGCACCAAAACCCCATGGAATTGAGCTCCATAATGGGAGGGGGAGAGTCCCTCGGGTGGAGGGGCTTTCCCAGGAGCTGCTCCCCCCTTTCCCAGCTCCAGGTGCTGTTTTCCAGGTGGAATACCTGTACATGCTGGTGTGCCAGGCGCTGGACTGCATCTCCAACAAAAAGTGAGTGGGATTTTCCCTTCCCAGAGGGGAATTTGTCCTGCAGAACCCCTGCTCTGGCTCTGCCCTGATCCTGGGCCATCCCCATTCCCATCCCTGCCCTGGCAGGTGCATCCCAGGCTTAGGAATGCCAGCACAGGGATAGCACACACAACCAGGGCTGGTTTTCCTGCTGGTTCGTGGTGATTTAGGAGTCCAAAGGAGGCTGAGGGAAGCCTTTTCCAAAAGGAAAATCCCTTCGGAATGTGCTGCCAGCTCCTTTGGATTTTCGCACTGACGCAAACAAGAGGGAAAAACCCCATTTGTTTTTTGGGATTTTCCCACCTGGAGGGGCCACAGCAGGGCTGGAGGGACCCTTTCCCACCATTTCCATGGATCCTGAGCCCGTTTTTCCCTAGGAGGGAGAAGCTCCCCACTTCCCTGGGCCCTGACGGCCGCGATACCGACGCCACCTTCACGGACGAGCAGGAGGAGGTGAGGCGGGCTCTGTGCCCCACGGCCTGCTCCAGGGGGGCTCTCGGTGTCCCTGCCAGCTGGGGTGACACTGGGGGGGCTTTCCTGCAGTTCCTGTCCCTGGATGACATCCCAGAAACCAGCCAGGCCAGCGTGGACATGAGGAGGGGCCAGCAGCCTGCTGTAAGAGAAGCCAGTTGCATTTTATGCCTCCTTTGATTTCTCCTTTCTCTCCTTTGATTCCTCTGTTTATTCCTTCTTCCTCCTTTTCTCTCTCCTTTTTCCTCTATTCCCTCTGTTTATCCTTCTCTTTCCTCCTCCTTTTCTCCCTTTTCTCCCTCTTTTTATTCCTCCTTTCCTCTATCCTTTTTTCCTCCTTTTC